GACAGTTCACCATAAGCTCTAACTCAACCAGTATTGTTCGGATAGAGAGCCTATATAAGGTTAATGTACTTCTTTCGTACACCTTTTAATGACAGGTACTACCACAGAACCTCACGATCCACTGAGTCCAGTTCCGCCTTCAGGTCAAGGAAGACAACTATTGTCGGACGCCAAAATATGTGTCTATGTTCTAGAACATGCGTAGTGTGAATATGTGGTGTATGCAGCAATTTCCAGATTTGAAATCAGCCTGATTTTCTCGACTCTGCTCTTCACGGGCTCTAGTTAGACGTCGGATTATTATCGAGGCTAACAATTAGTACACTACATTACTTGAAGTGACTTCTATGTGATTGTCACAAGAGGACTTTTGTCCTCTTTTTTAGACTGGAACAATCGGTGATTGCGACCGGTCAGATGGGATTACGCCTATTTCTTAAATCCTACCTAAGATCTCAGTCAATATGACTGCTAAAACTGGGCCACCATCCTTAGAAATCTCAGGAGTTAGCCTGTCAAGCCCTTCAGCTCTCCTTGGCTCCAGATTTCCTATAGCTGTCTTAACTTCATTAGAAGTCGGAGGACTTAAATCGATTTGCCATTCAGTATGACTGGAGATCGTAGGTAACCAAAGTGTAGTTGAAGACCAGTCGGATTGATCCCTAAAGTGTTCTGCCCATCGATTTAATCTCCCGGGTTGAGGATGAATGATACGACCATCCTTTTCTTGAGATAGTTTCACTAACAGATTGATTCCTAGTACCATTTTCCTTGATAATGCAGAACAGTTGTCTACTGTTACCTATCACCGCTGCTTTTTCCATCACTCTTGGTGCTCACTACTGTTTGCGACCATTGCGTACGCTTTTTACCAATCAGTGATAAAGCTTACCCTGGTTCTCATCGTAGTCAAAGCGAGACGGCATGAGTTTCGGTGTATCTATCAGTTCGGCAGATGCCACTTGAATCCACTGTTTCTGCTTAACCTTATGGTTTATCATACTAGCAAATATCACTGCCATTTCCGCTGCTTTTTGGATATCGCTCCAAGCTGCCTCTGACTGGGGATCATTACCCTGGCCGCCTACCTCTTTTTCTGGTGTCTCCTGAAATATATTCTTAGCTATGCTGTCATTTAATAGAAGGCTGTGAGGTTTATTTGAAGTATCTTTCCTAAATCCAGTAAGCCGCAAGCAAATACGCGCTCATAATAGAACATGGTTTGAATCTAAACAAGTGCTCCGGAATGAGCGGAAGTCTTCAATCGAGTCTCTCCATCGATGGCTGACAGCTGTGTGATATATTTGGGTCCAACGTTTGTTCGGCTTTGGAGGTCGCTTTGTCAAGAGACGTTTTTCCTTATACTTAAAATTAGTATTTGCTAGAAATAGTCGGTCATCTGAGCATAGTTGCAGCAGACAGTCGCCATTATCAGATGCATGAAGCGTAAACCAAGTTGATTCTCTCTCTAGACAAGTTGAAATCAAATTAATAATTTCGCTTAGATTCTGTATGCACGTTTCGGAGACACCGCATACATCGATGGCACGGTATTCTGGAGTTCTAATTAAGGATGACTGTTGTCCTACTTGACACAAGGTTTGAACACTGACAGCTTCAACATGTAGTGTAGAATGAGGTTGCAAAAGACGAGGAATAATGTTACGTGAACTCAAAAAGTTTGCATCAGCGGCGCTAGGTGACAGAGAAACGAAAGGAGTGTTGGTCGTGTGGGTAAGAGAGTTATTAGGAGATGTAGGAGGGATCTGATTGTGACAAAGTCGGTCTCATAAGCTGTTATTCGTAAGAAAGCAGGTGTCACTTTCTGGCTGCCCACATCGTGGAAGGGTGTTTTTTGAAGAACCTGAAAAGGAAGGTAGATTAGTGTTGATCTTGACGACCTGGGTTGAGACCGCAGAGTCCAAGGGACAACTACGTACGGACTTTTTATGGGAAGTTTGTAAAGTGTTGGCTCCGCTCTTTTTACAAGGCTTTGCCACCGAAGACAGAGATCCGTGGTGTAAGGTGAGGTGTGACATTTTTAGGGTTGAAGTTTTTTCACCCTTCCTGTTTTGAAAAGGCAGCATCGCTGCAGATGCTAGTTGTCCGGGGGAAATACTTTGCTGCTGTTACACCTACAGTCAGCAGTGCGACTTCGCCTTCAAACCTTCAGTTGTTGTTTTTAATTTCATCGTTCTCCAATCGACCTGCCTGGCATAGTAGGACCTACAGGAACATATGTTCCAGCCAGTATAGCTCGGTTGGGTCATCACGATAGGCAAACTCGATTACCACTTCAAGGTAAACAGTTTGTCATTCGAAACTGATTGTTTTTTAAAACATTCATTGCTAAAGTAGGACTCAAGAGAAACGTACATCAGTTCAAGTTGATATACCTTACATCAGCAAAGCGCAAGGAAATCAACATGAAAAAAATGAAATACGGTGAGAAATCATCTGAAAATCAATAGGAATCTAAAGATGAGAAATAAAGTTTTAAAGGGTGCAGATATGACTCAAGACCGCAAAGTTAGATATGTTATTCTTGAGTGTGACAGATCTTCATGATAAGTCATAAACCTTACACTTCTTGTAATTTGTTTCATGTGAATTCGAATTTAGCACTTTCGAGCCATAACTTTTACGTTGCCACTTTTTCCGTTTTCGAGTCCTATTGACTTAGATGTTCCCAGAATACACTATTTTGTATTCTATCTCCAGGAGCCTTCTGGTTTTAATTATACCTGAGAGTTATACACTAGGTAAACTTCCTTCTCGTTGCTGATTTCGATCATCTGAAAAATGTTTTGATTTTATTTTTAGTTAAGAGACGGAATCGGAGTTGGAAATAATCAGCTTGGTGTTTAGAATTATCAGACATTTGGCTGAATATTTAGAGAACCTTTGCATTTGGGTGATCTTACTTAATGTATCCTGACATTAATTACGAAGAGGTTTGAGCCCGTACCGAAGTTGTTCAGATAAGCAATCAATAACTGGATGAATTCATGGTATGCCTTAATTTTCTCAGACTTAAATTTTCCCAAAACTTAGACTTATGTCAAATAAGATACAACTCTAAGGTGAACGGTAGTTAGGCGATTGTGTTTTAATGAGTTAACAACATACCAATCACTTAGAGCTAACAACTTCATTATTTTCCAAAAGATCATATTTTTGTGAAGTCAACATTGAGTAGTTTCTTTGACTTATGGAATTAGCTAGTATCCTACTGTAGTTGAAGTTTTTCACTGGTTGATCTCAGGTTGGGTATCATTACAAGTCAAGGAGCACCTGTCTCATCTTAGTATAGGATTGCTTAGTGTCCTGCACATACAACCTCGTAGGCAATAAAACCTAAAATCTTCACATTAAAACGTCAAGAACCCACGTCAAATTAATTCGCTAGTATGTAAACCTGAATTTTTACATTCTACAGTCCCGTTTTGATTGATTCTTTATAAAGTAAGCATCCATAGAAGTTTATTAGCCATAGAGATTGACAAGCAGGTAGATGAAATGGTTTCTTATTAACTCCTCTTTTGATTCGTTTAAAATGAAAGGTTAGATATTGGAAGAGTAGTAAGTGAACCATGTTACAAAAATACTTAATTACTGAACAATTTTTTCCAACTGTCAATCGTTCATGGTTTCTTATCCATACTTATACACTATTTAACAGAAATTAACGGAGAGCACTGAGTCACTGTTTTGTCCTAAATAGATGTTACAGCGGTAACGTTTTGTTTCAAAAAATTCTAGTTTTATAAAATAAACACAGACCAGCCCTTTATCCTACACATGAAACTTAAAACGTAATTAGCTAGTTGACGTCTCTCAGTGTTCAAAGTGATCATGAGCTTGAGAAAGAACATCTTTGAAGCTTGATCAGTTAAAAGTGGATTGGTTAGGTGATATGTCTGTTTACTACTATGTTTATACACTCGTAGTTTCTTCTCACTAATCTTAAGTGGTGACTATCAAACTCTTTAGTTATTAGTATTACTGAGTGGGCGTTTACTTACATTCTTATTGGTTTCTTTAATTGTCCATGTATACATATACAGTTTGTGTGTATTCATCTACGTACAATGAAATACCGTTTATCATTGTTATTACAATCAAAAAAATAAACTATGCAATGAATCATTGCATTCTCTTCATAGAACACTAGAACAACAACACAATATATAATATACGGGTTTGTATTCATTCAAAATATTAATCTCTTATCATTTCATATCACAAAGAGTAAAGTGCATAGAAAAATTATTTTCTGTATGATTGTTACACAGCTCGTTTAAAGTCCAATATCACCAAAGAATAGAAACCGAGATTCGTGAACATACACACGTCCGCAGTTGACCAGTCAGTCAGTCAATCAATCAACCGCCCACCACCTACCAGCGAACGCATACACACAAACACAAACACACTGGCATATAGTAATTAAAAAAAAAAACAAACATACGCAAACCATCAAGGAGAACTACATTTTTCAGAGCAAAAAAGTGATAAATACTTTAATTTATTGTTACTTTAAAAATTTGATTAATACTTGCTATTATTTCAAATTGTTATAATCGGAGATATATACGTATATAAATGTCATTAAAAACACCGAGTAGTTAATCGTTCATAAATCAACCTTGAATACTTACAAAAATATACATAAAAAAAGCTTATTACTAATTAAAATTACGCTGGATCATAATATTTGTCTGGAGCCTTTGTTATCATCGTATGTTACTTGCATTCTATTCAAAAATATCACTACTCAATTCACCATCAATCCATATTAATATTTATACGTTTAAACATTATCGTTAACATTTGCAATTGTGAAGGAAGAATCCGTTTGGCAAGAATACATACAACAACTGTTAAAAAAAACAAACATTCGAAATCATTTACACCAACATTAACTACTACTACTACTACTACTGATACTATTTCTAATATTAATAATAATAATCATAATCATAATCAAATTATTTCACATGTTATTTAGTTCAGTGATATTTTTTGAAAAATTCCCATCAGTGACTCACTTGATCCAATTATTTTTTATCCTCTATTCTATTCCCACGAAATTGATTCATGGAAGTTGTGAACCAGCTCAAACTGTAATTATTTGTACTAATGAATTTCCGTCAAGTTCATTTCTGAATAATTTGACTGGTAAATATGAATTAATTATAAGAAGTGTAAAAACTAAATTAGACATTAAATCATTTGAAAAATATCATGGGGCACAAATTAAACGTTTACAAATTGAAAAATCCACTATTTATTCAATTGAACCGAAATTTTTCAATATATTTAGTCGTAATAGTCTTGAACGATTATCATTGAGTAATGTCGATGGTTCGTATCGTTTAGATGCTCAATCTTTAGCTGGTTTAAGTGAAAAATTAAATACACTGCGTATTAATGATCATACATTGTATAATATTGATGATTTTGTTATTTTAAATAAATTAACACGATTATATCTTGTTCGAACACATTTAACACAATTACCAAATAATTTTAAACAATTATTAACACATTTAGAAGATATTAACTTATCTGAAAATTTATTAACTTATATACCATGGAAAGAACTTGCTGAACGTATACAAAATGATCAATTTTTAAAAATTCAATTAGGTAAAAATTTATGGAATTGCGATTGTAGTGTGAAACCATTAATTGAATTGAAACCAGAAGCAAAGTAAGTTTATTTGATTTGTTTGTATTTTTTTTTATATTGTTGTAATTTTGATATGTATTTATCAATGGAACTGCTATAAATTTATGTTCTTAAAGAAGAAACCTAGAGATCTGTTATTATTCTGTGAGCAAGATGAACTCTCCAACTAAATGTACAGAGTTGATTCAGTGATGATCTTGAAAGTGACTAACTCCTTAGAAAACAAACTATCAGATAGCCTAGAGCCCAACTTATGATTTAAGAGAGAAGAAATCCAATTTTGAGTTCAATCTAATATAAGAAAAAGCAGGAAATGAATAAACAGTCCATTTTTATTCTCATAGAAGAAGTTGAAATGTTCATTTTCCAATCTTGATATTTAACTTTTGAATGTTTTCAATATGGGCGGAAGAATATGCTGGTTGCTTTGAAATAGTTATGGTTTTCATCGAGGCGGTGTGTTGGTATCATGAACTTATCTTAACCACACCACACAATTGAAAAACTTTTTGGCATTAAATATAGAATATAACGCTTTTGTGTGTGTTGTCACAATGTAAAATTGTTCTTAATTTCGTTTATTCTAAGATGTGTATTTCATTCATAGAAAAATTATGATGAATGGCGTTCATGACCGATGGATACTACTAATAAATATTTAGTGAAACTAAATATTATTCATAAACTATTGTGCTATCAGATTAATAATGTATGTTTATATGATAAAACAGAAATAGCAAAGAATATAAATCTAAATTATTTAGGAACATTTTATTGAGAGTAAAAAATTGCAAGACGGTTACCATAGTGAAATATATCCGTTTATTGTTCTATCGACAAACTTATTGATCACATATTTATTTTAGGAGTTTTCTTTCTTTTGCTTCGCTATAATCTCATTCTAAAATAATTAAATTTTGCATTCAAAAAACTCCCATGTGTGTCTGTAAATAATCGATATATCTTTGTTAGTGTTCTGTTGTTACTGACCGGCGGTAATTTCACTAATTCGTCTGAATCATTAATAAATTTCTGTTATTAGGTTTTAATTAAGAGGTAACATGGAACACATTGTCACAATTATTTTTATAAATAAATCATTATGTGTTAACAAGAGCGCTTTATTAGAAATTGTTCACTTTGTAATTTCAAATGACGTGCTGTGGTGCGCGCTACTTATAAGTAGTATATGACGCGAGTAAAACGTAGTGACTGGCAGCAGAAGATGGGGAAAGATCAAGAAAGGAAGAGCGGGAACACAATGGGATTTGTATGAGACGCATGAACAGTGAAATGTCAGACAATGGATTGATGTTTGCAACAGGAACAGTCCAGTTCGATATGAGGAATTGATATTTTGCAAATTAACGATTTGTGACTGGAGCTACTACTACTCGGCAGTAGTAGGAGAACACAGAGTTAATTGGTAAAATAGGAAAACCATATCGTATGCCAGACATTACGTTTCACTCGCGTCATATACTACTTAAAAGTAGCGCGCACCACAGTAATAGCTCCAGCTAAACAAGCATTTGGAATGGAGGAACACTGGATGGTTATATCGCTTTAGGACTTTCTGTTATATGCGCCCATCAAATTCAGGATCTTTAGACTTTACAGCTAGTGTTTTTCCCTTAGATCACTGGATTTCTATTCAACAGGCTATAATTCTTCTTAGTATTAATCACTTGTCTAATCGGCAATAATGTAAAGAGGATTTTTCGGAAATTTTAATAAGATTCCGTAACTAGTAGGGATTAACTAGATCAGGCATGAAACAGGTATCACTTAAGTCGATTGAAGATGGTCGTAAAACATTGTAAATCGATCGCGATTGGAAACATAGATCACTGGGTACCAATTTAATGGTCCAAAGGTATTTGTGTTGTATCCAGTCCAAAAGGTCCTGTATTCGCTTTCTGATAAAGTTGAAAAGTTCACTGATCAGAAGTTGATTCATGATGCCGTTGCCCAGTTGAAATTAGTTTTCAATATAAAACTGAAAACTATTATATATGTTATTAAACATCAAACATTATAAACTGATCTTCAAGATTAAAAAATAATCTGCCCTTATGTAGACATATTTGATTCAGAATCTGACTCTGGGAAAAACAAATATTCATTTTGATTCTTAGATTAATAGAGATTAGATTCACAATTAAAGAATAAAGCTTGCAAGATAATAAAGTATTGATCATCAAAATTAATTGCTGTTTTTACTTATACTCGTAAGTAATCTCTGTGTTATATATATATATATATATATATATATATATATATATGTATATATATATATATATATATATATATATATATATAGAGAGAGAGAGAGAGAGAGAGAGATAGACAATTATTGATCATCAACACAACACTCATATTCATTCGCGAGATGCTGGTATATTTTTCGCTTCAAACATGGTCCCACTGTGAATAATACAACTCAAACTTTTAAATTATTTGGTTGATATTGAAGCCTACATATGTGTATGCAAGATCGATTATAAAATTGATTTTAAGTATAGATCTATGAAAGTGAATGAGAATAGTTTTTTTTAAATGTCACTAAATGCAAACAGCATTTACTTTGGAGTAATTTATCGATCATATCTACATGACTAATGAACCTGTCAACCTGAGCACATTCGTAAATCGGATTACATCCAATAATTATTCTTAGAATATATTGACATTATTGTCATCAAAATTTGGACACTGAATGGTGTTGGTTCTTATATCATTAACAATTGTTGGTATTCACATGCTAAAGTATTTAAACGGTACATATGGTTAGCTCTGATAGACAAGTATCTGACAGCTAGGTTTGGTGTTTTTGTCATGAACTCTTCTGTACACATTTCCCATTGGCTATTCCGAGTGGGATTCCACTTTCAATGAACTTTTTTGTTGCTCTATACTATAATATACAGTATGCTTAGGAGTGAAAATTAAAACCATACACATAAGCGAACAATGTTTTTTCACTTAAGTTTTCATTAGGCTTTACTCTTATTACTTAATTGCAGTGATTCCTAATGATGATTGCCTTCAGTCACTTTACATGTTGGGACATTGTTATTATATTCTTTGTTACTCTTATTGCTGTTAGTACACCTATCATCACACGGTTGATTTATAAATTTTACTTATTATGTTTGATTATGTAATCTGTTTCAGAGCTATCATTGACTTATAGACTGACTTAATTGATCTAATATTTTTCATATATCTATGCAGATATTCTTACATAATAGAATAAAGCCTTATAATAATGATTCAACTGAAAACAACATTGTTGGCTTACATGTTGTTTTAATTTGCTAAGTGTTCATACATCAGATATTATTAACGGAGACAATGTTTCGCTTACAAACATTACTATTCTCTTCAGTCTCCTCGTATGGTGTTGCTTGTCATTTTTAATGCAACTAAATATTTACATTCGTTGTTGGTTACCGATTCATGTCACAGTTTGCGAGTAAATAGCTTAATAGAACTGGACTTAACTAATATTTGTCCCAAGATAGTGAACGGACTTGGAGTATGGAAGGAAGGGCATAGGAGTTTGTATCAGCAAAATAAATAGGAAACTTTTATCTTATACTAAGTTGACTGAAGTGTACTGTTTATGACTTTGGATTTTGTATTAGTCAACTGAGAGTAAAGAGAAATTTTACCATGAATAAGTTGTTCTAGAACTCTTCCGTTTCGATATTCAGTATTATAAATTTTCGCTTGATTATTTTCAGTGCTATATCTTATGAAATAACCTTTAAAATCGTTCTGCTTTGGCTGCTTAAAAAGATGATTTGTACAGACTTCGTTCGACTTCAGAAACCTATTGATCACCAACTGATATCAACTAGGAAAAAACTAGTTTGATATATCTCAACTCAGTGTCCTCATAACTCTTTGAATAATCGAACTTAGAGCTTGTAAGTCTTGTGACCTAGAGTTTATACCAGTTAACAGTCATTAGTAAAGTTTACCTGAAACATTGGGAGGACTTATGCTTTCCCTTAAGTTTGAACTCGTGTCACACAATTTAATATTCAGTGAAGTTACCACTGAACTATTCTAAACGTGATTGAGTTTTGTTATATTAATACTATACAGTATATCAATACAATGAGAACGTAGTAAAATCTTTTTACCATACTAATTAGTAATGCTACTGAACTGTGTGAATATTTTGGTATACTTTTTTTACAAGACATCTTTTATACGTGAGCAATAATTACATCACATTCAGTTGTAAATCAATACATACAACTTATCATTCTTATTGTGTCTACCAGCATGATTCAGTATTATAATCGTCACAACCTACTTTAAATATATAAACATCTGTGAAAAAAATAATACATCTTGGCAATCAAACTTGTTTCATTAACAGAAATAATAGTTAAATGAATGAACACAATAAATCAATCAGAACCAGACAGTTAAAAAGATAGCTACGTTTTCTCCACATATGTCATGTTTTTGTTGTTATTGGATGGTATTTCGATTGGTAGTAGTTTATACTTATGAGTAAACTCATGTTATTATGTCGCCGTATATGCAAATCTGTATGCATATATTATGTACATACTTATTTGGGAATTGTAATGGGAGACATCTACGTAATTATGCGGAAATGTGCACTTTTCTTCTGAATAATTAGCTTCATATATTATAGAGGCGTTATTAGATGAGGATGAATTATGAGCAATGAGTATTGGAAAACCCCTTTATCTTTACATGAGACTCCTCGGAAGTGCACAATTACAACCTTATCAGTAGTGGAACATAGCATAGCTAAGCCTCGATGTTAGTGCTCAATGTTTCAGCCATTGGGTTGGGATTCAATGCTCAACCATGCCAACTTCAGTTATTTTAAATTCTTCAGAACGTCTATTCAATGTCATTGCGAAAGTCTGCTTCACTGCCTTTATGGTTAAAATGTATTAGAAATTGTCAGCCTGTGATAAATACTATCTATAAGTTGAATTAATTTGCACAAAACGTCTCAACAAAAT